AAATAAAAACCTTTTGTTAGTAAAAACTCATTACAGTGAACAAGGGAGCTAAAGTTGGCAGTGCGTCACATGCCACTCACTCGATCGTCTGAACAAATTGAGACAGTGTGCAGAAATACCGCATTGTATTAAAGAATTGGAATGATCGATCGAGTCAGGGCGTTCATTTTAATTTCTATCTCCAGATACGGCCCGGGGCGTGGTTGTGAGAACAATTTGTTTCATGTCCCTACTATACCTATTTCTATCTCTGAATCTATCGAATAATGTGTCCCTATGGTGTATCGTGTTTTCGTCTTTTGAAAGACCGTTGGCGAAACCATAAATACTTTTAATGTAGAGTTACTTAAATTATAATTCTTCAGCATCATCAGTAGCCTTAACTAGTTCACTGTTGGACATAGGCTTCTCTTTAGAAAGGAGGTAACAATTAAAATGTAAATTCCCAATAGGTCTTGCGGTCTTTAGAAAACATGGCCTTGAGGGCTAACTGAATCTTATGTTCAGGTTTGAAGTCACAAATACCATCTGTTTGAATTTAAAAGTCCACTGCTGGACATAGGTCTCTCCTTAGAAAGGAGGTTTTGGCCTACTGTACACACGGATGGATATATGTTTGAATTTAGTTATTACTAAATTACTTAGCTTAGCTCAAAAACCTTATGAGAGGAATATGTTACGACTCAGTTTTTGGATAGAATGTTAAACATCACAATCATTTTCTACTTTTGTTGCGAAGCTAAAACAATTTAAAACAGAAAATAAAAACAGGAAATGCTATTGAAACACGATCCGGATATGTACGCCATTTGGAAATAGAAGCGGGGATCAGTTAAAAGTTGGTGAAGGCAATATCTAAGTTTAGTCGTACAAAACCGTCACTCGGTGTCGGCGCGGTGCGGCTCGGTGGTGCATCCACAGAGCGCGGGCGTGCATCGCTCGATAGCGCTGACAGTGACGGATTACCCCGGTAGCGCCGGTTCACGGCCGGCTCTACAGCCCTTAGTTCTAGGGTTGCGCTCTACTATAATAGTATGAGTGTTCGACACTATGTTTTATTGATACTTTTTTTACGGAGTAATGTTTGTCTTCAAACTCACCTCATTTAAAGTGACGATTAAGACAATGATAGTACGGGTTTATCTTTGAGATCATTATTCATTCTACTGTTGATAAGCAAGGCAACTGTTGCAGGATTTTAACTGACTGACAAAACGCAGTTCGTTAGTGAATTTGGTAATTCGAAATAAAAAAAGGTGTCATAATAGTTTTAGTTTTTGGCATTTCGATGATAAAAGGTAAAAGAAACCCCTGTTTGCAAGTAATAATTCAATAAAGGAATGGTCATAGTCCAATTATTCAAAGACATTATTTACTCTCGTTCTTTGACAAATATAACAAATTCCTTGTATAACGACCTGATTTCTCACAGATAAGACATCAAGACATTTTTGTTTATTTGCTCGTTTCCGTCATAACTGCATCGAAAATACTAACCGTGGTCTGTTTGTAGTTGCAGACTCACTATATTTCTGAGTCATTCGGACGGTCTACAAAGTCATCGGTTAGTTTTAAACACTTGCATATCGTAGTAATCGTCCCCAAGAAAAAATTTAATAGGTGTTATGTATAAAGCTAAGTAAATATTCTGTAAAAAAAAAGGTAGGTGACAACCCTAAATGTTCGTGCAAACTTATATTTGGCATAATACCTATCATCTATAAGCGCAAGTTTGCGTACAATAATATCTTTAATAGTGTAACTGAGCAAAATACGCCTATATTGCCACTCCATTAATTAATCATGATCATAACTTGTTCTTGCTACAAATAAGGTGATGTGTAGGCACAAGTGTACATTACAATAGCTTTTTACTTAAAAAGGTCCATTATACGTACCATTTTAAATTTTAGCAAAGCCAGATATTTTGGGTACTTAAACAGGCAATTTTATATAGAATCAACAATAGTTATAATAGTGTTAAATCTTAACTGGGACCTAAACTTTACTAACTTACTGTCAAGATTCAAAGTCAAGTTTTTCGTTCGTTTCGTTTTTGCCAATTTTATTTTGAATTGGGCACTGGAATTAGGTACGTGTTTCTTGTATGCGAGATATTGTATATTTATTATTATGTCCTAGGTTATGCAAGAAAGGTTGTAGCTAAGTAGTAACGTAAAATTTATTATTGCTTTTGAACCGAGAGTAAACCAGATTTTGTATCGCTCTGTTTCTGTTACTCAGATATGTACGAGGAAAAATTTTGTTGTTCTACATCATAGCGATTTATTTGTAAAGATTTGAATAATAAAACATGTAATTACTTATATTATCTTCTAGTTGTATTTATAAATAGATAGCCTCTCATAACACTTGTTCTTTCATTGTAAAAATCTTAAGAACGATGCGCTATTGTCCAGAAGTAGTAATACGCGTGCATTTTGTCGGCTCGGCCCCCCGCGGAGCCCTGCGGGAGTCCGCTCCTGTTCACCAACAAGCGTTAATCGCCTTAAATATGAAAATATTATCTATTACAAGCTATAAAATTGTTCAAATTTTGTGTGAAAAACTTGTAACATCGCTGAACATCGCCAATGTGAACGACCGAGACGAAAGTGTACACTCATCGCGTCTGATTGGTCTTCTGATTTATAAAAAGGTGAACGTATAATCAGTTCATATTATGGTTTATAGAAATTGATGCATGCTTTAGTATAATAAGCCAGTAAGTTATATGGGTTGCGTAATCTTTGAAACGTAGTATTTCACTTTTCTATAAAACGTAAAGGAGTCATCATTGTAGGTGAATTGTAATTTGAAAGAAAATAAGTTATGAGTAAAATTTATAAGCGTTTCAAGCTTTTATGAATAAATAAATATATACATATGTATCTATCCAAAGAGTGCTTTTTTAATACAGTCCGATTATAATGAAATCACATGCAGCAATAAGACTTAGGTTTCAATAAAATAAGGCCTTAAACATGTTATCTAATTTATTTATTTTTCATTTTGTTTAAGATTGAATTCTATAATTTATTACCGTCACGTCTTTTGTAATTCTGTTACTAAACTAAAGGGACAACATAACACTTTACTGCACATAAAGGATTGATCTGAAACTTCAACAAAATACAGGAAGAGCTGATGAAAAATGTAATGAAGTATTTTATAAAGTAACTATTAAAAAAATCATACACATTCAAGGTCACATTGAAACTTGATTTTAATATAATTTAGATAGGACATTTCTAAGCTAATTCTAATTTTAATAATTGAAGAAGTAGTAAGTTTTTTTTTATTGGTATTATGATCAAGTTGTAATAAAAGAAGTTGGCTCCATGGAGTCTGTCCTGAGTTAAAAATTATAATTTCACCATTGCCTTTTTTAATTTCATTGCAACTTTAAATTTTTTCTTGATATAGACTTTATCCATGCTATTTGATAATAAGAGATAAATTTAAACAAACTACATGAATCTTGGTATAGGACCTTTCCATTTATATCTAATGTTATAACTTACTTTTTTAATTCCGAATGCTTAAAACTGATACTATTCTTTTAATATCATTGACATAATTGGCTCTAATATTGTACAATTATGTCAAATAATTGTTTGTGCTAATATTTTCCCAAGCCCAAAGTAGCAGTTGTCGCAATTTGTATCACATGCTCATGATGTATCGGTTACCAGGTGAGGGTTGCCCGACGGATGGTGATGGATCATCCAACACTCATTGTTCTGATACCAGAGACCTTTGTCCCTGACAATTTTGGGGTTATTCTATCTTTCATGAGTTAATTATAAAAAATGAATATCTGGTAGGTTAAAAAATAAAAAGGATAATTTTACTTCATTTTTATAGACATCAGAAAGACATTCATTAATTGAGCTTAAGTTTTATACGAGTCTAGTAGAATTCATTTCTTTTTCTTTCTTTTTTTTTATTTGGTTAAGTATTTGTTTGAATCAAACATTGTCAATCTTAATTTAGGAATTGCAAATTTTGTTAAAGACTTTTTTAATTTGGTTTGAAAAAATTGGTATTGACAATAAACAGCTACCGGTACTTGTAGATAAACAATATTTGTACAACTTTAACAATTATTCCTTCGATTTTTGGAAACACAAGTTAAGCAGGACGAGATACACATCACCAGTGTTGGTAAAAGACGAACTTACCTAAATACTGTTTTTAGCCTAAATTCAAACTAATTACTATACCAGGTATTAGGCTTACCTTCGATTGAATTTTATTTAAATATAGATAATTACTTATATAACTTTTATATAAGTCATTATACTATACATATTATAAAATAAATAAAATTAATGAAGGTAAGTTCGATTTCGTTGATACAAAATGTATAACGAAATCCTTCAAGTGTTGTCAGTGTATAAAAATACATGTATTCTAAAGTGTTCTCACTTATAATTTGTGGTTATAGTGCATGTCGGGTATTCCGTTCCGTTACACGGCATGTTGGAGCGAGTCGGTGGCTCGGATAATACTTCTGCCGACGCGTAGCGACACCACTCCTACATCTAACAACAGTTACAGACACAAAACGTCGTCGCGCCATACAATTCAATATATTTCAGAGTAATTTGATGTTCATTAAAGAACCTCTGGGACCGTGAACCAGAACACAATGGTTGAATAGCCATTTGTTGTTGCCGTTGAAAGGCATAATAATAATTCCTAAGTAGTTATTCAAGAGGTAGTTAGACGCACTTACGAAAACGAGAATGTCCGCGTTTGATGGAGCAGCCATTTTTGTATTGGCAAAGCATGTGGTGACGGTGGTTAATAAGTATTCAGAAACTTTGTTCTAATGACCTAAGTATACTGAATTTTTACCTTCAACTCTCCACACAAAATAAGTTTAATCACAGTACTGTTATTTTTATTGAGTTTTTGGAAAGTTTTCGATTGGGCTGAGGAGTCGGGACGAGTTTTAAAAGAAATAATTCGGTAAAAATCTCATCAGGATAAACCTAATGAGCTTTCATAAGATATATTAGGAACCACTTGCATATTACTCTGCAAGACTTTTTTAGTTTAGAATAAAACGTACCTTGTTGACTGCTCTTTCTTGTAGTTTTTTTCTCTTTCATCCAGGGGTACTCTGGAACGTTGAGTCCACCACCAGGTGACGGTAAATCAGGCGCATATCCAGGAGGCGTGTGTTGGGGACTAAGTTCACCTCCACCTAACTGCGGTAAGGCAGTCATGAACTCTGCCATTGAAGGTTGACTGTTTATGAAGCCGGTTTCAGTGCACGTTTCAAGCATAGGGTGTGGTGCACCTGCGGTGGTAACCGCTGCGAGCCAGAAGCCGTTGCCTCCGTGCTCCATGCGCGGGTGCTCTTGTCCTGGCGCCGGTCCCATCGGTGGCGTGTTCCTCGTCTTCACGGCAAACTCCTCTTCCATCTCATCGCGAACCCCCATACCAACTCTCGTGTGTTGTTTCCCTCTTATCGCTGGGAACTCTTCGCATTTTATCTTGCGCACCAGGGGGTTAGTGTCGAGCGGCAAGGCAGCGGTGTTGCAAATCTCTTGCATCGCTATCGGTGTGCCGCGCCTTTGCCGAACGCGCGATCATTCACGTGACGAATCCTTTCTACGTTTTGTGGCATATGACATTTTAATTTCTTGTCAAGTTTATTCCAAAGTAAGAGTTTGATTTTCAGGCGATGCTCTGGATACCAATGAAGGCATTGTGTTATCTGAAAAAAGAAGATAATTCATTCAAACACTTATTTTTTTTATTTTATTCTTTGTGAATGTAAACTAACTAAAATGGTCTTGTTTTCAGTATTGAATATTCTGTCTAAATAGTTTTGTATTAGGGTTTGTCGTGAGAACTATATCATATATATATATTAAATGACCTAACTATAATATCTCTTTTTAGCAAGCTGAACTTAATGCATTTGTATTATGTGTATACCACAGAGTACAAAGACTAGTGGCGTGACAATTCAATTTGCACAAAGAAATATTATAAATAGTGATGCCTTATTCGGTGTTGAAAGTTCCATCAAGTAAATGTCAGTGTCTACACTGTAAGCCATGGCGATGCCTAATCGACGACAATTTGACGAAAATAGAGAGGCGCCAAATTAAATGTAACGGGAGGAGGCTGTTTCGCGGTTATTTCGCAATTACTCGCGGACATTCGACATTACTGGCTTTGTGTCGAATAATTTGTACGGATAACGTCGTGATGAACTCGCGAATAATGAGCGCGCCAAATTGTTTATTGTAATTTAGCAGCCTCCATGAACTGTATTGCACGTGACTGACAACAATAAAGCTATTAAATCTTTATGAACATCACTGAAAATTATGATATCCAGATGTAGATAACATGAAAATTATATAATAGCATATGTATAACGTATACCTAGCGTTGATGCATATATACATAAAATTTAATGATGAATATTATACGAAGCTATGTTTTAAGTGGTGACTATTATGTCTGTATGTAATGTTTTACACGTACCTACCTACTTACAATATAATCAGAGTAAATCGGTTATCGTGTGTGTTTTAATTTTTTGCCATACTTGTAATCCCTGTGAACATCTCAGTGCTTGTGCATGTGTGCATGTATTTAAAATCGGATTGAAAAGTCCTACAGGGACCTATTTAAGATGTAGAATTTAATAAATAAAAAATATTTTATACTGTAAAATATATTGCATATTTTCCTATTCGCTACTATATCGTCGTCTAGCTTAGCTACTTTATACCTACTTCTTGCTACTAATACATAAAGAATAGTAAAATACATATGTATGTTTAATGTACGATTTTACCCAAACTGCAGCGAATACTACCATTATATGTATATACATATATACAGAGCAAAAGTCTCCGTGTCAAGTAACATATGTTATAAAGGATATGTTTAAAAGATTGACAAGCCTTACATTTACATGGCTACACAACGACCGGGGGAGGTTGAGGTTGCGGACGTGTGGCGTCACTTTTATAGCCCACATGTTGTGGGCCCACAACGTTGCACGTTCAGCCCCAACCGAGAACAATGTAAAGTCGAAAATGTTAGTCGCACCGATAGCGTTGTTGCCTCAACGTCAATTAAAATTCAAACCGCGTTCGAAATACGATTTTTTCCACTGGAATTTGCGGTGCGGCTCCGAGAAATGGCGGGAACGCGCCTTTTTGTTTTATTTTATTTTTTGGAAATGGAACGGCTGGCGGTTAAACCTATTTTAATGCGTATGGGTTGCTGTGTGTTTTGAATTAAAAATTTCCGTCTGTTCTCTTTTCACGCGGATGGACAGTGAAATGTAATTTCCTTTTCGCGGCAAGTAATGAATAAATTTTAAAACTGGCAAGTGTGCTCCAGTGTTTTTAATAATACTACTTTTTAAAGGAGTTATACAAAATCTTAAGCAGGTTTATATTGTAACCGCTTAGAATATCAAAGACTGGCTATCTACTTAAACAGTTTACACTAGTTTGGAAAATGTTAGTTAAATCAAAATTACAATAAAAAAACATAACATGAAAGCGGAAAATATTATTGGCATTTAGGAAACTACAGAGAATGGTATTTAAGTAATAGTATAATAAACATGCTACTTTTATTTTAAAGAATCTAACTTAAAGTAACCCTCTCTAAATTTTAAATCAGAGCTCTGAAGGAAAAAATAAAAGAAAATTTGAAGGGCCCCCTTTCCCCTTGTTTCCCAGCAGGGATCCGCAGGTTTTACGCCGCGTTTCACTTTACCGGCGTGCCCTCAAGGGGGAGCCTTTAAAAAAACATAAAACTCAAACAGATCCTACTTATGAATTTGTTTATGGCCCATTTTTAGACGAGTCGACGTCAGAATCTCGGGGCTTACGAAATAACAATATTCCTAATTTAATGCCACTAAATCTTTATTGATACGAGCAGTTTAGTAGCTGGGTTAAAAGGTATGTATGTTTTATACTGTTATAAAATATCTGTTCTATTCCAGATACAAATAAATTATTTAATTGCATGTATCCTATAAATTATAAACTTACTTTTTATTGCAGAAAAGATTTCTTTTGAACATCTCGTTGAACTAAAGAACATTATTTTTATATAGGCAAGAGATAAGCAGCTATTATAGTCAATTTTGTTATTTAGGTACATGGTGTAGAGTATATAAGTGAACATCTGCGTGCGGGCCGACCAAACTAGTGGTTAGGGTCCAATTTGCTGGCCGTAACGATTTCCTCTTCGGGGAATCGAATGGCGTGAGTCCGGATGCCGCCCACAATATACTCATGTAAAATTGTATAATACATATTGCACGAAAGCTTATGCGGTGTATTTCGATGTATGAATGGAAAAGCTAAAATTACTGTTAATTTTATATGTAAAAGCTCCAAATACGAGGTTTGATCATGTTAGGTACTACTTATCTAGAGGCATGCTTAGCCTTCTGTTAAAATAGGGGTCTTTTGGAAAATTACATAGGTACTTACGGAAAAAATGCGGTAATAATGGTTATAGACTGAGCATATTAGAGTAGATTAATATTGAATTAGTGATCCTCCATTATCAATTGAATCCTTTTTTATTATCTTCAAATCAACATTAAAAGTATGCGATTTGACAATAGCTAAATATGACCGCACGCCTAAGTTTAAAAAAAAGATACTAATTTGACTTGACAGTTATCCATATATATTTATAATACTATTTTAAGACCTTAATAACGCTGTTCAGATTTTTTATTTAATCATATATTAGCCTAGGTTTATTTAGATCAAGAGATATATTCGCTTTCAGTAAGAGGACAATTAATTTCAAGGAGTCATAGTACTTTACTTATACTTGTATGATCTTTAATATTTTAAAACAGAAAGGGTTGTTTCTAAACGAAGTTACTTTTAACTCAACCTTACCTGCAACATTTGGGCAGCAGTGGAGCTACGAGGGGTGATCAATGAGTAATGATAATCGAGTATTTCTAGAACGCACAAAAACCCAAATTATTTTTTTTCTGCTTGCTTATATATCCACTACTTCAGCTTCAAAAAAATGTATAAATAGGACACCATTACCGGGAGATACATTCATTTGAATACGAACTGTCGAAGAGAAAACATCAAAATGGAGAAAAATTAAATAAGAGCTGTCATCAAGTACCTCTGCCTGAAAAAAATGTCTACCAAAGACATACACAGCGACTTAGAGGAAACATTGGGGGAGTCTGCTCCTCCATATTCCACAGTCGCACGCTGGGCAAAGGAATTTAAGCTGGGCAGAACCTCCACTGAAGATGAACATCGCGAGGGACGCCCTTCCACGTCCCTTACTGGAGAAAACGTTAAAAAAGTGGAAGATATCGTGTTGGCCGATCGAAGGGTGACCGTAAGGCATATAGCTGAGGTCACAGGGATCTCCTATGGCAGCGTTCAAAAAATCATTGTCAACAAAATGCATGTGAAAAAGGTCTCTGCGCGTTGGGTACCGAGAATGTTAACCGACGAGCAAAAAAAGAAACGAGTCGACATTTCGAGGGTGAATCTTCAAAAGTTCCAGGCCGATAAAGAATTTTTTTTGTCGCGTTTTGTGACCATGGACGAGACCTGGATCCACCACTTTGATCCCGAAACCAAACAACAATCAATGACTTGGAAACGAGCTTGCTCACCAACGCCGAAGAAATTCAAAGTGTCAAGTTCAGCGGGAAAGGTTATGGCGTCTGTTTTCTGGGATGCAGAAGGAATTATTATGGTGGAATATTTGGAAAAGGGGGCCACTAAAACAGGCTCCTACTACGCAGGCCAAATAAGAAGATTGCGAGAAGCTATTAAGTCAAAAAGACGCGGTAAACTGCGCGCTGGAGTGCTGTTTCACCAAGACAACGCCCCGGCTCACAAAGCCGCAGTTGCGATGGCTGCCATTGAAGAAACGGGGTTCGAACTGCTCGAACACCCTCCCTATTCGCCAGATCTAGCTCCCAGTGACTTCTACCTCTTTCCTCGGCTCAAAGAACACCTCCGGGGCAACAAATTTGAGGACAACAGTGAAGTGATGGCCGCAGTAGAGGCATTTTGGGAGGGTCAAGACAAAGAATTTTTTTCTAAGGGAATCATGGGCTTAGAAAAAAGATACACTAAATGTATTAACTTGCAAGGAGACTATGTTGAAAAATAAAATACTTTTTTTAATCTAATAGTTCTGTTTCATATTGATTATCATTACTTATTGATCACCCCTCGTATTAATAAACGGCATTGGCTTACATTACCGCCTTACATATTGACATACTTCTAAAATATTGTTTACTTGCTAATGTGTATATTGTATACACAACCTACTTATATCTTGCTATACTTCGTAGATTATTATAGATTGATATGGATGTCCACAAACCGCCTTACATTAGCAGAACCGTCACAATGATAGTGCCCTATTGGATATCTTATATAATATTAAATTTATGTTTATGTATGTTTATAAATTGTGCATGTATTGTGTATACTGCTGGACATCTATGTAAGTATAATGATATCTGCAGTAATGTATTTATGTATATTAGTTATAT